AGTGTTTAGCTGTAAAACTTTCGCTGGGTGATTGATAAAATCACTGTATTGTCTGCATTCGTTACAGAAACAGACCAGTGTTTAGCTGTAAAACTTTCGCTGGGTGATTGATAAAATCACTGTATTGTCTGCATTCGTTACAGAAATAGACCAGTGTTTAGCTGTAAAACTTTCGCTGGGTGATTGATAAAATCACTGTATTGTCTGCATTCGTTACAGAAACAGACTAGTGTTTAGCTGTAAAACTGTCGCTGGGTGATTGATAAAATCACTGTATTGTCTGCGTTCGTTACAGAAACAGACTAGTGTTTAGCTGTAAAACTTTCGCTGGGTGATTGATAAAATCACTGTATTGTCTGCATTCGTTACAGAAACAGACTAGTGTTTAGCTGTAAAACTGTCGCTGGGTGATTGATAAAATCACTGTATTGTCTGCGTTAACGCTAGTGTAATGGTCTACAAAACACTAATTGGTGAAGCAGAAATCTATGTTATAATAGACATTAGTTTTATATATTCATTAATCATCCAATCAGAAATACTTCTCATTGGATGGCCTAGAAGTTCATTTACATCATGGACACAAATATGATGTATACATGTTATAAATCTAACCTTTTCTTGTCTGTTCAACTTTACAATCCCGACATCAATACTATACACGCTAAATTTAGACAAGTTCAAAGTAAATTTCCATTTTTGCATTGTATAATTTGAGTGTTTTCTGTTTATCAATTTTTGGTGGTAGCTAGGAGCTCTCAAGTATCTAAGATGTACAGGTATGAACCCCGCATAAAACAACTCACATTGTACAGGACGACAGTTCATCGATTTTTGTTTTCAATTGATGGAAAGATAAAAATGAGTAGAGCAGCTACATGTAAGGTCAAAGGTCACCCATGCATGATCACCATCTGTTTATGTTTAGCTTGGATGGTTGAACGCCGTACATGGCGCGCTTCAGTGGTTTACTCTAAATCTAAACTGCTGGTGATTGTAGCCACACATAGCTGAAACACGACCGTGAGTGATTTATTTTGTTACTCTGAATAAACAGATATATATAAATTGCCATGACTAATGAATAACATGTTGATAAGTCAGGAAATTAATATTATATATACATCTTTACATCTTTTGTGTTTTATATGGCAGACGTTTGATTCATATCTTTTATTTTATAAGACATTAGTCACGTATATATTTTCCAGATATAACTACAATGATTGACGGTGTATAAAAGACATGGATTACCCCTGAGGAACCGTGAAGTGCTGTCGTCATGACAACTCAGGTGTCTAAATGGGTTTGCTACCCTTTGTTTAGGGTGCTGCTCCCCATCATCTTACTGGCAGGGAAGTTAATAATGTGCTAAAAAATATTTTCAGATTTCTCGTCTGATCAGGGAGTTGAACTCTGCCCGCCTTGGTGAAAGGCAAATACGTGTGCCATCTACTACTACACCACCTGGCTAACCCATGTTTTGGAAATAAACAAAAGGTGGTCGGGTGGTGCAGCGGAAGCACACTTGCCTTTCACCAAGGCAGCTGGGGTTCAATTCCCCCATCGGATGTGAAAAGGTATATGAGGTCTTCTGCCCGACCACATGGGTTTTACTCCGTGTATTCCCGTTTCCTAGCTTCCACAATAAGACCCCGGTACGCTAACATCAGGGCAAACAAGAGTGATTAATATAAGCTGAAATAACTTGTTTCATAATTGTTGTAAAATAAATAAAGTTTATATTTATAAAAAAACAAAAGTTTGTTTCTATGACAGAAATAAATAATAATTTATAAATCAATTCAGCTACACTATTAAGTAACATCTGAGCCATTATAAACTTGTTCTAGTTTCCTGTGACCTTTGACCTTGGTTTGTTACAGCGTGCGCGGTGAGGTACAATGCACTGTCCTTCATTTACCTGGTATTCTTACTGGTGTGGCCGCTCTTATCTACGCCAAACAGAACTAACATCAAAGGTAAGATTTAC